ATAGCGGGTCGGGGGGGGGGGGAAAGGACCCGCGTCGGGGATCTCTGGAGCCTACTTGGACCCCCCTGTCGGGAAATTTCCAGCAAGGTCGTCGGGGAAAATGAAATCTCGACTGCTGGTAGGCCTACGCCTTACTCAAATTTTAGGGATTAAAAACTGTTTAGTGCGAGCAGTGGTACCGTATGTGCGAGGTGTTGTATATAAGCTACCGCGATGTATGGGTTGTGGCGGGTTAGTGCCCATCTTCCTCGACAGGGGGATGGTACCTCCGACAGGTGGTTAGTAGGTACCCCCTACAGGGGCCTCTTCAACTTGCATGATTTTTTTTTAATGAAATTATCTTTTTTAAATAAAAAAAAAACATATAAATTAAATCAACACAATTTGGTGGGGGGGGGGGGGTTCCCGGAAAATAGCATACTCCTTTGTTGTTGAAAAGTTTATTTTTTTAGGATATACATGTTTTTAGTTTAAAAAAAACAATTACAAACCACCATAAAGTCATGCCTTTCCCAAGCTGTATTTAAAAGATGAAATAAGATAAAAATGTCAACAATAATATCCCACAGGAATAAATCTATTTTGTGTGTGTGTGTGTGTGTGTGTAAGTGTAAGTGTTACGTGCTATAGTATTTATTATATGTGTTTGATTTTAATATTGTTTGTACAGTACACAGAAAACAATAAAACTGATGTATGACGAAATAATGTGAATTTTACAGTACAGTAGGCCTAAGGCTAGTTCAAATCTTCATATTTATTTTATTGACTGACAGCGTCTTACTGCCCTCTATAAAACTTGACCTAAGTATACTCTTGTTTTTGTACGTGATGATGATGGTTTGGAGAAACTAAAAAACACTGCCTGCGCCGCGCCTGACATCGTAGAACTGGGCGATTTGTGTGACAGATGGTACCTCTACTAGACTGTAAGACCACAGAAAGGGGATGAGCAAGTCTGGATGCAGTATGCGGACTAGATGTAGATATTTACTTGCCCTTATACTGGCTTTACTTCTAATATTTGTGTTGTTCTTTAAAGACCCGAAGCCCAATAACACACTTCCTGTAGGCTTAGAAGTAGAAGATCTTGCTCTGGCAGCAGTTGCAGGACGTGGCTTCGATGGTCGTAGAGCCGTTGGAGCTGAGATATGGAATGGCCAAGTCAGGTAAGGTCTAGCCTAGGCCCTAGTCTATCTACTATTCCAGATTTTTGTTTCTAGTTTATTATGTGTCAGGGTACATAATTATGAACTTAGTCTAGCCTAGGCCGCTAGAAACAAGATTAAAATATACAGGAAATTTTGTGATGATGGGGGAGGTGGGGGTGATTTTGGGGTTTTGTTTGTAGTATTAGTAATAGTAGTATGTATGTAGGGACAAATTTTTGCTTTAACTTGGATATTACACTTTCATGCATTTTGAGATGACTAATGACTTTTTCAGTTATATTCCTGAGTTAGTATAGAAAAATATTGATTGAATTGTATTAATGAGATTGATGCCCATCAGCACAAATTGAGTCATTAAATTATACCTAGCGAGTCCATGAGTGGGGCTGGCAGACTGCAAAATATACAGCAATTTTTATATTTTCATCCTTTATTATACACCAATTTTATGTTTTCAATGTAATAATTTTAATATTACTGTAATATTGTTCCTCTTTTTTGGTTGTTTTGTAATTTTTAAAAAATAAAATTTTATTGTTTAGTTCATTTTTTTAATACCTAATTCGTGTCTTATGTTTTTATTGATTTTTATTGAAGTAAGTACTGTTAATCAAGATGCCCACTGAGAAAAACAACCAATCAGGCATGGATTAGATGTTGTAAGCAGCGGGGTCCGACATATCCGATGGAGTAGTCCGAACCAAGGGGCCAACTAGAACTTAAGTCAACAGCCCGTAATAAAAAATCTCTGGTAGGGTTCAGAGGGAGAGTTTTTTTAGGCCTTGTGTGGCCCAAATTGTGCTTTTTATACAACAATATGTGGGATTAGCAATCAAAATAATGTTATTTGGATAGGTAAATTATTATTTTTAAAATATTTGATCTGATGATCTAGTCATGACGTCACTGTTAGACGACAGGGGGTCCCTCTGTCTAACAGGGGAAAACTGCCCCCCTGCCCAGCTGGCGCCAACACTGGTTGTGAGACTGATGTCAGACTATGGACTGTCATCAAAGCTGAGTAGTTCTCTATTGCTAATACTATTATGATCATGTCAACTCCCAATAGCAAGAATAAGAGCTGGTGCCAACCGGATATTGCCCTACCACCTCCCTCAGACTAAATCCACAATGAATTTGGCTTTCCAGCCAGGGAATTACAGAGGTCTTTACATTGGCTGGCACAAAGCCTGCCATGTGAAACTTACTGAGGCATGCCCCAAAATATTGTCTTTTTTAAACTCCCGGCAATTGGTTCTCTGCTACTTTGTGTCATTTTACAACTAAAAGTTCAACCAACCCTATTTAGACTTAGTTTGTAGGCCTATTGTAATCAATCATGTTGATAAGACAAAGCACTGAAATGAACTCAAATTACATCCCAAATTTCTTTAAAGTCCTGATGACACTACCCACCAAAAATTACCTATTTCATTCATACTGTAGTTTCCATATTGTTGAAATATGACGTAACATAACATGTTTTGTCATATTATACCCTATGCTTTTGGTATTATACTGATACAATGCAAGCTCAAATGTAGAAAATTGATTACTAAATCAACAATATAAGCTGATAAAAAATCAGGCACGCATTGTTTTTTATGCTTAGCCAAATAGTATGCTAGCTAACTTTTGCATCATTGTGTTATCTGCGTACATGCACACATTTTTTTTTTCTTAGATCGCCAGTGTTCGCACGGTCCTTGAAAGTACTTGAAAGTCCTTGAATTTGAAAATTGCATTTGAGGCTTTTGAAAGTACTTAAAAATTAATGACGGTATTTATAAATTCCATTTTTTGTTCATTTTTTTTCCCATTATTTTAGAATCAAATGTTTGGAACCAAATTTGCTTTCCCACTGCAATTAGTTAATGTAAAAAAAAAAATTGTACTGTTTTTTTCTATAAAATATAAAAATACCTTACTGTAAATACGTTTATTATCTGTCCAATCTTCTTATACTTTATGAGAATATCATTTTGCATACTACTGCATTCCCCATGCAAGTGCACTACTCCTTATTTACTAGAAGTGCATGGTATGAACTGTGACCATTAATGAAAGAAGAAGAGCAGTCAGCTCAAACCCCTCCTCCCCTTAATTTTTTTAAGCCAATGTGTTCTTCCCTTACTAAGTTCAGTGATAATACATGTAAGTTTAACAAGAGCGACCGCTCACCTGTCCGTGTGTTAAACTGAGGTTACCTCTATTCAGCGTTTAACGCTTCAGGTATGCATCTTTCAGACAAGGCGTTTTTATTGACACTATTAAAACATGCTTAAATCATGGAGGAAATACTGTACACAGTGGTGTACGTTATTATATTGGGTTTTCGACAAGGGTTCGTAATTGCCATTAATTACTACCACTACTAGGAGACATCGCATAAATGGTCCGGTCGGTTGTTGCTGTTGTAAAGAACCAAAGGTCATGAGTTCGAATCGCGCCATAGTGTTTAATTTTTTTTTTTTGTATAAATTACTATTATTTTTATTTGACAACTGGTTGACAAAAAAAATCTGGAAGAGCTAATATGATAGAAATGTTTAAATAATTAGAATGTTCATTTGTACAAAATTAAAATGTCTTAAAATTGGGAAAAAAAATTGAATACCAAGACACGATTTGAACTCATGACTTTTGTTTCTTTAGAACACATCCTTAACTGACCGTGCCATCCTAATACTAATAGTGGTAATGTAATGGCAGTAATGTACAGTCCTTTGCTGAAACCCCTGTTTTGTTTTGTAGATGTAGGAGCCACCCTGGGGTCAAACGTAAAAAAAAAGGGCCATGAACGTTTGTTGGAATTAATAGTTTGTGTATAAAATTTACTGCACATCCGTTCAAAACTGGCGATGCTGGACGCCCTTAATAGTTCTGGTAGCAACAAGAACAACAACAACAACAGCAGCAGTAGTGAGGTTCTGAGGTCCTCCTTCCGTGGATCCAAAAAGACCATTTTGAAAATCACATGAAATTAAATGCTACACTGGCTCCAAAACAGATATTTACGTTAATCAACATTTATTAATTGTTAGTTAGTACAACTCAAAGAGTCATTAACAGATACAAGGTTGTGTTCAACATTCCCAAATTGTCTCGGAAGAATGGGAGAGCATTCCCAATTGTGCCGGGGTCAGCTACTTTGTGTAGTAAATGCTGTAGTGTAGCAATTTTATGGAAACCAGGCTTTATTGACCTATCTCATTATTAAGTGCAAAAACAATTTTATAAATTTTAATATCTACTGTAATATCATGTCTCATGTTATTAATACCATACCAATATTTCCTTGTGTATTTTTTAAAAGCTCAACTACCAGGCTATCATTTATTAGCTGACTGACCAGGAAGAATGGCCTCCTACTTTGCATGTAAAGTCCTCTTATGTTGTCTTGAAATGATGAGTGGTATGATATTACACAAAACAAAGAGAAAATATGTTACAGTAATCTATTCTACATAGAACTAGCAAATTGAATATTAATGAACAGAACCAGATGGAAATGATGATGATGATGAAATTGTTTTTGTGATTGTTTGTTGATGTTACTCAGGACAAAGAAAAAATGTTTAATTCACTAGCTGTGAATCCTGTAGGCGTGGTACCCTTATATACGTGCATGAGTGAAGCAAAAAAAATAATGATAGACCAGCTCACGATACAGTGGATTTCGGGGAGATGGGGGTCCATAGAGGGTAAGATTATCCCATTATCCCATCCTATTGGCGGTGCTATCAGGGGCTATCGGGGAGAGATCCCCCCCTCCCCTACTTATTAGTAGACTATAAAATCGATTAAATAAGCCCTTGAAACCCCTAAATTGTCAAAATTTTCAGGGGCTTCGCCCCTAGGACCACTTTCGAAGCCTATTAATCGAAGCTCGACCACGTCCACTTTGCTTTCGTCTGGGAAATCTGACCCCTCTTCAGGGCATCGGTCACCTCGTCGGGGACCTCGCCCCCTCCCCCGGGCAAATCCTGGCACCACCCCTGCACCCCTGGGTTCTATATATTTATAATTATTAAGGGCGATAGGTTGTTGGATGCTTGGGTTTGTTTGTTTCCTTTCGTTTCATATAGTCACTAGCACAAGGGCAGACGTTCCATCAATTTTAATGCAAAATGCTCAAAGGCTCATTCATCTGCTATATAAGTTATTTTTAGTAAAAGATAAACTAGAGAGCAGTAAGAAATTAACCTCTGATCTTTTCAATTTATTATAAAAGTTTTTTTTATACTGTATTTGTTTCTTTCATGTATTTTTATTTACCATGTCGCTCTTGGTGTTAGAATACAATACATTATAAAAAATGCCTTTTTAAAGCAATTTTAAAAACCTATTGATACAAGTTAAACTTTCAACGAATTCTGTATTAAAAATTTATTTTCTGTATACTGTAGTCTGGAGATTAGTTTTAATACAACATGTATACATTTCAGATCTGCTTCACTGAAAGCAGGATAAATGATTGCTTCCTATGTTTTAATTTTTTCCTACAACAGCCAGCCATGTGAACAGCCTGGTATCATTTGAATTTTTTTTATAAACGTTTCTTCAGTCAGGTATTTAATAATGTCTGTTGTTTTTAATTTGTTCCTCCTTCTTTTATTAATGTTATTGTGATATTTGTTTTTTTTCCTCTATTTAGAGGTTTATGAATTTAATTGTAATTCACACTGTTATGCTGTTGGTACTAGAGCAGATAAGATGGCTTATTCCATAAATATGGGGAGGGGGAAAATGTGTGACTTACAATACACTTTTAGGTATTAATCCCTTTTCTATTTGCTAAATTGTGATATATTCAAACCTTTTATAAGTAAATGAATCACTTGTCTCATAAAAGGGTCCTCATATTCACATGATGCATTTTTAAATAATTCATGTAATTGATACTTTATGAATTAAAACATTTTTTTCTCAAAATTATTGAATAAGTTTTTATTAATACACACAATTGAACTTTTACAAGGTAAAACATTTTCAGT